GAGGGTAATCAATCAGAAACCTCCAGAAAGAGTAATGGACAGAGGCTACTGTGTTGCCATGCTTATACAGAATTCTAACTCAATTTAAGCACTTAGGGAGTCATACAAATATTAATGTGTTATTGAGATGCAGAAATACTGGAATTTAAGAAATATACATCATCAGAAATAAATGAGAAAAAAATGCCTGAAATTGAAACTACAGTACACTACAGTATTAAAAAAAAAAAAAAATGAAGGAAAGTTATATAATTTTTAATTATAATTAATCACAGGTTAATCCAGCAAGTCAAAAATAAATTTTATACAAAACAATTATAAAATATACTTCCTAATGTTTGACTTTATTCTGTAAATTTCTTATTTGACAGACAAAAATATTTGTTAACAGAACCCAACACGGAGTGCAAGATGAGGTGCCTGTGCAGCCAGCAATAATATCAACAATAATATCTGAAAAAGGGTACCTACTCTAGCGAATTAAATTTAACAGCAAGTAACAATTCTTTTGCAAAATGATTTAACAATGGCATATGCACCACCAAGATGAACAGAGAGCAAACAAAAGCTATTCAATGTAAACAAAACCTCTCCAAATGTTACTGTACACATCTATGTAACAATTTTAATTTTTTTTTTCTTTTGTTGTGTGTACACTTCAAACTGATACCTACAAACATTGTAAGGTTGTATAATGATAAATGCAGGTCTCAGGTAGGGATAAATAGGGATAAATTTGGGCAAGTTTACAATTAACACGGCCGTATGTTTACAATGTCATCTAATAACATGACATTCCGTACATGTTTCAAAGATTATTCAAAGATGAGCAGGTGAACTGAGTATTATTTGAATATAAATCCAATACTTAACAGATTATCATTTTGGAATAATCTGTCTCACAGAAGACAGAGAGTGTACAGGAGGTGGTATTTTAAGGCTGGTGCATCATTGTCGTTATTGCCTAGGGACAGGAGGGGGAAGGGTAAGAGAGGGCAGAGGAAAGAACAGATGAAGAATGAGCTGGGACAGAAAGGTACATACTTTGATCTGACATCTTCTGTAAGATTACATCTGGCTGTTATTGACAAAAAATTTCTGACTTCATTGCTATGTCAATAATGTTTGATTAATTCGTGATTTATACTTTTTAATTTTAAACACAGTATTTATTATGACGACTACTCGGTATGGGGTAGAAGAGAGAAAAGAGGAGTGAGAACTGTATTAATGCTGAAGTGTAATGTGGTCTTCAGAATGGTAGAATAGGAGGAATGGGAACTATTGAAAGTTTGTATTAATTCGAGGAGGGGAACGGGTGAGAGTAAGAGAAAAACTCATAGATGTAGGTGGAAATGAGGGCGATAAATTTAAGAAATGAAAGTTATTTTTGACATCGCATACAGCTTCCTGATAGACACGCAAAACACTTTCACTTTGAGTAACAAAAATCCTTCCTACAGACGAACCACATGCTTGTAAAATTGCTCAATAATAACACAATAAGCATTTTAAATCCTTTGACAAATCAGCCAAATTTTAAACTTAAATTTACACATTTTTATGTAACCATAATATTATACTTATAATATTATAGTGCTAATATTTAACTCTGCCATAGATTTGACAAAGGATTTAATCAATCAGTAGAATAATTTAATTTGCAATAAGGAAAAGGTCATCACCATGGCAAGACTTGTCTGGAGGTCAATCATATGCTACAGCCATATGTGAAAGGAATTATTTATAGTTTTATTCTGATATTAAAATATGATTATGATACAGTGTAAAAAAATCTCAAATTACAATACACAAATCAATATTTGACATAAAGATATTCCATTACTGTGACTTGTTAAATTATTCTTTACCATATTATCACCTATTATGTTAATATATAATATAGTAAATTTAGACATACAGTATGCATTATTGCATAAATGTCATTTACATAAATGGCATATTGCACTCATGTACCAATAACCACAATCAATGGCCTACATGACCGATTTAGAAACACACTTGCTTGGAATGGAACATTTAACAAAAATGTCCAATATATATATCTGGTTCTATATCCAAAATCACGCTTATTTCTATGCTCAATATTACAATACCATGGAGGTATTGTATTACATTTGCTATTACACATACCTACATGCATATGCCTACCATATTTCTCAGTATTATATTCACTCCAGCATTTAATACAGAATCATGCATTGGAGTCACCCAAAAAGTCCATATAGTACAAATCACTTTTTATTTCCTGTTATGAACATCAAATCCTGGATAGAAAATTAATTGTAATGCGCCTCGGAAACAGCTCGCTACATAGTAGGACGATGAAGCTCCACACACCCGACAGTCAACGTTATGCGGGATCGTTGACAAGTAGCGAACATCAATGTTCATATACTGTTGAATCCAGCGCTACATGATTTCTATAGACAGGACTAGAAAATGTGTGCTACTGCGTGACCAGTAGTTAGTGGCATGCTACATTCTCCCAGAGGCATTTTTAAAGAGAGAAACAAACAAACAATTATCTATTTCCAACCCCCTCCCACCAACCATCGTCCTCCCTTTGCTCCAGACAACCAGTGTTGGGGAATATTTAGTCTACATGAACAATTTAGTGTTGAAGGCACTATACAAAGTTATTTTTTAATGGTCGAAGGTACACATTTTTAGGCTTTTCTTAGATGCTCTTTCTAACAAAAACATTCATATAATCTAAATGAGTTACTACATATTAAATGCCAAGATATTTATAGTGTCTACCAATAGTATCCATGATTTATTAATCATTAACCTAAAAATAAAGAATATTAAATAAGAGTATTATATCTGATAGTCTTCTCAAATATACAATAATCAAATTCAAGTTCAAAGTATCTTTATTTTCAATCAAAGTAAGCATCGGTTGAATTACATAGAAATGTAAGACAAAAGCAGAAATAGAATTTGATAAAACAATAAAAAATATAACAAATTACAAAGGATCCTTATTAAATTAAATAAAAAAATAATCATACCAGCTTATTCAAGAATCTCTGATCTTTATTAGATGCTGTTACTTTTAATGGTAAATTTACATCATGTTTTCGAAATCAGTAAGTGACAGCATATAACATAAATTACCAGGTACAATAACAAACCAGATATAAAATTTCTAAAACAGAAACCAAATGAAATTATTTACCAAATGGAATCTTGAATATCACAGCATCCACCACTACTGATTATCCTCCCTAAAAAAGGAAAAAAAAGATGGTCATATTAGAATTATAACTTTTTATTAGACTCTATTTATTATTAAGTATTTATTATAAAGTTTTGTTACAATACATTATGATGATAGGATTCTGCCAATAATTTTATTCTACTTTTATTTCTGGATGAAGAAAAAATATGGCTCTGTCAAGGTTTTATGTGACCTATATGTGTTACTTGCCCATATATGGGCATGCCAAATGTCATATTACACCCATATATGGTTATGATGATGTCATATCACACACATAATCAATTCAAAAGTAAGTCAATAAAACTTAGTATAGACTACAGGGCCTAAAATGTTGAAGAATGAGAACATCTGAAACAATATCAACTTAAATTTTTATTATAATTCTTTCTAATAGCAAAAGCTATGTCAAAACTGCTTGTAATATAATCAAAAGAGATTTTTAAGAGTACAAAATGTTCACTCATTGATGAATTTGGAGGATAGAAAAACAAATCGGAAAGCAATATCAATTTTAATGTCTTTAGCTGAACACATGCCAGTACCCATTCCAAATGTGGGTATGAAGTATACCTGGCTCGATGCCAAGGCACAACACACATCGGATACCTATTCCCAATTCATTCACATCAAAGAGTTTTATCGAGTTTATCGGCTTGGCCCATCCACTATGCCAAGCACATCCAGCTAAACTGAATTAGCCTAGTACATTATGTTTATTACCCTTAAGGGCACTGCCTTAATTGCATGCATTCATACACGTTCAGGGGGCAAATACAAACACAACCTCTGAACCTTGTGTGAATGTGAATCATATCATGTCTAGGTCTGAGACTGAATGTATGAATACCACTCATCATACATTCTATTTCAAAGGTGTCTATTGAATATTGGAATAGCATTTTGAACATAAGTTAAAATCTATTTTTGTGCATTGTTCGCCAATATATAAAGGTGCGCATGCTTAGAATTAATCATAGAGACCATAGTAAGGTCTGTGGAATTATAAACCTTATTTATGTATCTACTAATCAGCAAGAATAGTTTCTCGTTCTTATTCTGAAATGGAAAGCTAATACTTTTAACAATAAGTAAGCGCTTCAAATATTGAATTTTATTGTTTCTAGTCAAGAGCACATTGCAGCCAGATCTTTAATGTCAGAAATCTCAGCAATCGGATGAAATGTAGAAAATGAATCGAAGTGTCACATTTTCAGATTTATTAAGTGTAATTAACCAGTGAATGGCCATTCGGACAGCTTTTATTGTGCTTTGTTGCATATATTTGTGGCATGTTTAATAGTAATACAGATATTAATCACCATAGGCCAAATTAAATAAAAGCATGTTTCTTTGTTTTCTTCTCTCTATGTATAATGAGTCAAAAAAAGTGTGTTGTAGTTTTATATTGGCTATTTTAAAAATGAAAGTCTGCCATGTGGGGGTAAGAGAAGATAAAAATAGAACAAAAAGACTAAAAATAACTCTCCCTTATATGTTTCAACACACTATTTTAGTTGATATGGAAAATGTGATGAAATGATGGGTAATTTAAAATATATATTTCTAGGACCAATAAAATGTATCTAAGGACAAAATGTATTCAACCTAAATGACACACGAGGTCCTGACCTACAGAGCATATCCATTATAACCTGTAATATAATGTTTGTCATCTCCTAGGGTTTAATTCTCCAGTTGACATGGTGTAGAACAAGCAGAACCAGCATGATAAGTGACAAGGGGGGAGTTTATGATCAATTTTATACCACATTTAGGACACTTCTCCCCTGATGGTTAATTTGAAGATGGAAAACTAGCCTTGAATTGCTCGAATCAGGCTAATGTGGAACAGCTAAACATTCTCTGGTGGCAGAAATGAGATTAAATTGATAACAACTGCTTTTCGAAATACATTTATAGCATTGACATTTCAAAGATAATTTTACAGTGACAAATATCAGTTAAACTCATATCTTATTTGCGTAGTCACAGAAGTAATAATAATCTATCTATGTTATCTCTAACTGAGTTACTTGTACATTATGTAGGTTACAGATACTTAAGACACTGTAAACATTAAAGCTTAAGTGAAGATGTGTTACACACATACAAAACTAAACACTCATTTCAACAGGCATGTATGAATTATTTATGTATGTAGTACAATTTATTCAAAAAATAAATACAAGGCCCACATGGCCCAACATGCAACACATGCCTGGCATGCACAAGTACCAGGTATCACACCAGGTGTACCATCACCAAGCCTTACACTATTTTAATTGTTTATTTATGAATTATTTAAGCATGAGCCAACCAAATAAATATAATGATAGATAGCTTAAAAAGTAAAGAACTCATTTTCAGTTGAAATGGAAGGATATGTAAACGCCAAAAAACATGGTGATCAATACCCCACTTGCAAAACAGACATAATGCAAAAGTAATGAAGACACTGGTACAGCACATTGTTGACAGTTACCGTAACCTGGGTTACTGGTGGTGAATACCGGTATCCATCAGTATCCATCGGTATTGTTACCTGTAAAACCTCATGGTTGATAGTGCGATACATAAATTGCCTACTGGTGAGCTACTACATACACTTTCACACTGTTTGCCAGGTAGATAACCAATCATATATTGACATTAAAGGTAATCAGTGGTAGTACACCTGTTCACAGCCACGCCTTTCAATGACATCCAATTCTGTTTTATCTTGTCATCCAAGGTGTGCCTTTTAAATTGACACTTTGCCAATGTGATTGACAGGGAGCACTCATGTCTTCCTTCTCCATAAATACATGTTTTATGTTGACATGTTTGTTTCGTCAACATTATTGATTAATATAAAGTAATGGATTGGCAGTTGCAACTTAAGTGGGTAGGGGTTATGATAAGTTACTTCTCTGGTTTTCACATATTAAACATATCAAAAGCCATTTTTCGATATAATATTTTAAGAGAACATTTTATTATTTCCACAAAATATACATATACTGGTGTGAACACAATAGGGAGGTAGAAGGAAAGAATAAATAGAAACAAATTTTTCAAAAAGCTGGTACTCAATTAAATGTAAGAAAACAGGTCAAGATGAAAGGAATGGGAAAGAGCTGAACCCAACTAGAAAATTCTAAGTTCCATTAAATATGACGAGACATGTGAAGCGAGAAAAAAAAAGTTTCTAAAGAGAATTTTCATGATTGTAATTCACAGACACTAAAAAGGTAAAGGCGAGATATTCATGAAAAATCTCATTCCTTCAATGTAGCAACTTTAATTCATTTAAAATTTATATTTAAAGAAATCATGTGACTTAACAAATACATTGTTGTCACATGATCTTTTAATATCTCTAGTTTATCAGCAAATTCATTTCAAATTATATTTAGAGATCAAGGGACCACTTTTAGTGTACAGTATACTTCGAGAGAAACAAATTATATTTTTTCACACTTTAAGTTTAGTGGCCTTAAAATATTTTAGGCAAATCGATAAAGCTTTACTAAGTAACTACCTCTTGTAGCTTGTACTTAAATTATAAAAAAACAAGTAGCCTTACACAGCCTTGATTACATAAACAGGTTTCAATGGTGTTTATCACTAAATCTACCTACTCTACCACGACTTTATCTATACAAAAATCTTCATTGAATATTAAATACATATTGGCCGGAAGCTATAGACATCCCATAACCTACGAATGAATTATTCATGTATTCATTAGAAGACGTCACTTCAAATATTGTGCACACTACCTGGTAGGACGACGTCAACATTATATAAATTTATTTAGATGCCAATAAAGTAGAACTTTAATAATGTTAACTACAGATCCTACTTGTTCTCTATTTAATATCTGAATCAGCCTTTATCAACCATTGGTTAATTTCAATTTATTGCATAATGTAGTTCATTAAACTCACTGAACATATGTTTAAACAACAGACAACAAGAATGGTTGAGAATAACACGAGCAAATTAATATATTGCATATGGCATAACGATAAAAGATTTTAGTGAAAAAATTATTCGTTACAGAGTCATAATCCAAAGTAACTGTTGTCTACTATATAGTTAAAGCTTGAAAAAACATAAACCTTCGACTTTCAATTCAACCACATGGGAAAGGGCTTACTAGAGAATCTTTTAATATCAAAAGCACAAACTGAGCATTTAACTCACTAAAACAGACAGACTAGAAAATTGGTTGTATAGTTTCTCCAACATTTTTCTTAAATAAACAATTCTAAATTTCTTTTGACATGCTTTTTTGTACTTGGATCTTACAGAATGACAGTGTCATACAAAATCTATTCTCTCCGAAGCATGGTTTCCATAAAATCGACACATGCTATTGCCGAGAGCTTTTGGCAACGATGATTTTTTGATCAAATCGGGGAAGCCTTCCCGATTATGTGGGGGAACAGCTACACAGTGTAATTTATTGCAGAGAAAACATTGTAGTGCGAGTGTAGCAATTTTATGGAAACCAGCCTCAATGTTAAGCTCAGTCTACAGCATCAAATTTTATTTGATGAAAACATGTTGTATACATGTTTATATGTTATGATGTGATGTCATCATGACCATATTTAGGCATGTCACATGTTTTTGTCAAATAAAATTTGATAGTCTGGACAGGACTTAATGTCAAGAATATTAAATTGCCAAAAAATATTGTATCAAATCACAATGTTAAACATTAACTGCTTAAATAACATGGTAGCAAATCCAAACTATGTTTTACATGGCTTCATTAAAATTTTATCACAATTCTCAAGTATGAAATTAGTAGATGGAATGGATCGGTATGACATTGCATCAGTAAGAGTTTGAGTCTATCGCTTCCCCCACCCCCTCCCCCATGAGATTTATCCAACTGAAGGCCTACACCACTACAAGGTTTGGGTTACACATCCAACAACCTCTAAAAATAATATATTTCTTGAGAAATTAATAATTTATTAGAAACCTATCATATTGAATTTATATTTATTT